CTTCTATTATTGATGTGTACTGCTTTTTCTGGCAATCTTGGCAAGCTAGCCGAGATCTCTGCCTGCTGTTGTATATGGCTAGACCTAAAGCGAGAGCTGGACTGAGCATTGATCTTACTCGAAGGCCCGGACGAACATAAACCCACTCCCCGAAAGCCACCGGGCAATTATCCATGTCAGAACCTGAGTTACGCCGGGGTACTGACTACGGGGTCCAGATTGTGATGATGACGATCGGGGGCGCACAACATAAAATCAAGCAAGACGGCGCATTATCTCGGGTTTTAGCGAGGGCATCAGGTGGCTCGGCGGGTCGTAAAAGGGATGCAGACTTGGGAGGTTCCTTACTACTACCAACTTTCCCAAATGATCTCTGCTAGCCTGCCTCTTCCATTCCCAAATGATCTCTGCTAGGCTGCCCCCTTTCATTCCCAAATGATCCCTGCCTGCCCCGGCTACTGAACGCAATCTATCTTTTTGAGGCAGGCTAGCAAGGATTTTGCGGATTTCAGTGTGTATCAAACTATTCCAAGCCAACTATTCAAGCAAACAACCTTTGGGATATTCAAACCCCAATTCCCAGCCCTTACCATTCCCCCGAACTTCATCAATCATCCACACTCATTAACATCGAGTCGCTGGGGGTAATTTGTGTGGGTTGGAGAGAGAGATCACCCGAAACTCCGAGACGTCCGCGAGCCCTAAAAGCGGGCGGATTACTCGGGGCCGGGCCCGCGGCCCCGCCCTTTTCCCCCAGCCGACTGCGGGGTTCCTAATTTGCCTGCCCCTTTGCTGGTTCGAGGGCTCGAAAAGGACCGGACAGACAAATATGCACACACACAAACAGAGGCCCACAGTTTCCTGTTTTGACACCCTGGCTTCCTTGGCTTTTTAGGGCGCGCTAACGGAAATGGCTACAATGAATGTTGGCCCTCATGAGAGCTAAGGGTCCAGTGCTTGGTTTAATGACCCAAGCCTGGGCCTAAGGAAGCTTTTTAAGATTTTAAATTTTGTATTGCTCTCTCGCGCTTTCACGCTCTCTTTCGCTGTCCTTCTCTCTTTCTCTCTCTCTCTCTCTCTCTCTCTCTCGTTTTCTATATTTTCTCTCTTTTTCTCGCTCTCAAAACGACAGACTACAATTTTTTACGCTCGATTTTCCAGATAAACTCCAGACTCCACCACCCCATTTTGCTGTCGGGGTCCCCAGCGAAGAGAATGACAGCCGAAACGCATCACCTAAAAACAAAACTAAATGGGCAACCAAGCGCCCCGTTCCTCCAGTTGTCGATGCGACGGCTGCGGATCATCCGTTGTACTATTATTGCTGCGGGTGGCTGAATGTAAAAAAGAGGTGGTTTTAATCGAATTCATCAACGAGAAAAATGAAAAATGCTTTTTACCGGTTCAAGCTGCTCTCTAAGGGCCTTGGGTTTAATGTAAAGAATTTTAAATCGGGTTCATGCTCTCATAAAATCTTGGAAAGAAATTCGAATATGCCAAAAAAGTTGAGAAAAGAGTCGAGTCTTCAAGGCTTTTCGTCCTTCCCGGTTTTAGGTGGATTCTTGGCCTCTTTAGAACCATGCCAACTTCACAGCAAGAAAATCTCCTGTCACCTCCCTTGAAACCCTCGGAAAACCCGTGAAAGGTTACACCTCGCACGCGCGGGCCGCCGAGGGATCAGGTGGTGAACGGATGGAGCACGTTTCACCTCCTCCGCGTCCCGGCCACCTTTCAGTTGATAGCCCAAGGCTTAAGGTGGTGCTCCTCGATCTCTATCTATCTCTCTCTCTCTCTCTCTCACTCTCACTCTCGATCGGCTGTGCTGAGCGTGTGCTAGGTTAGCCCGGCTATCTCTCGGAAATTTGATCCCTAATGGGCCGGGCGTGAGGTGTGAAACCGGCCCCTCGGCGGGTGGAGGGGATTTTTGTAACGCCTTGCAGCGTGTTAAAAGGTATTGAGATGGTTCCTTTACGAGTCCAAAGCCTAGAAAAGAGTCTTAAAAATGGCACTTACTTTTTTAAACATTTTCAAGCTTGATTTTCGCGTTTTAAAATTATCTTCAGCTCTTTTTCAAAGTTTAAAAGGAACGGGAAGTCAGAAATTAAGTCTGGACACTTGAAAAACCGGAAAAATAAATTAAAATAGCTGAAATCGTTTGGAAAAGCGATTTTTGAAAATTTATGCATTGAGCTCTTTTTCGATCTCTCGGCCCCTTTAAAAAGTCGTGGTACGTTTTTTTACACGTTCCAGACGTAGTTTTCGCTTCTGCTTTTCCGCTGACCACATGAAAACTTAAGTAAGCTGACTGACCGCTCGTAGAAAGAAGTAAAGTTCACCCCCACCCACATTTTTCGGACACCTCCTCGCCCGGCTCACCGGGCTGCCCATGCATTTTTAAGGGACAAGCGAGGCGCGAGTTAGGTGAAAAGTTTTCGAAGGGCTGTACGAATCGAGTGAGGCAGCCTAGCAGAGAGCATTGAGCAAAAGAGGAAAAAGCACATAGCGGCGAAAATTTGGGCATAGAAAAAGCGTAGTAAAATTCAGTTTTTTGGTATCGTATCAAAAAATGTCTTTAAATCCTTATAAATCTTCAAAATTGTTCCTCTTTCTTTACGATTCCCGATTTTACCCTGAGACCCCCTTGCCGGCCGCGTGAACCCGTAACACGCCCAAAATTTGCATCTGAAAAGCCGAACGATCAGTGTACCTCAAGGAACGGTTCGGAATTGTTGCCCGGGTGGGAATTCTATGGTTTTAACAGCCCTTGTAATGTGTACAGTGTCGGAATTTGGGTTTGGGCTTGAGTTGCCAAGGGATCTCTGCTAACTTGCCAAAAGCAAAATTCCTAGTTTTTTCTCAAAGAGCTCGTCTAGCTGGTCCTCAAAATCGTATCTTTCAGTGAAAACAATACATTTTCCTTAAGGATCACTGCTAGCCTGCCTCAGAAAAACATACTTCCTCAAGAATCTCTGCTAGCTAGCCGACTCCAAAACTTTACTCTGCCCGCTCTCCTCCGTTCCAATGCACTCCACTAGCTTGGCGCGCCAATCCTTTTCGGGGCTGGGACCCAATCGAGGGTTTGTTAGTTTGTCGATCTCTCTCTCTCTCTCTCTCTCTCTCTCTCTCTCTCTTCCTCAAGATTCGGGCTGTCTAATGAAGGCCATAGATAAACACGGGCCAGTGCTTTTGGAAGGGGGGCGAGTGGCCAGCGGCCAGTGCCGATTGCTGGGGTCATTTGAGGGGCGCGGGCACTCGGAAAAACAACATAATTTCGGCGAATTTAAAGGCGAAAACATCGAACCACATGTGAAAATCGTAGGCAATTTATCGCGGAATCATCGGGCTAATAGGCATAAATTTTAGGAGGCTAATAGATTTATGGCAGTTTGCTGAGCGAGACAATTTTTTGAGTACGTTTTTGATCTCCGCTAGCATGCCCACTCTATGCCCAAATGATCTCTGCTAGCTTACCGTTTTCCAATTGCCTAGATATTCCCAAATTTTCGCTTCTTTGGCCCTCTACGGTCCAAGAAAAATCTTTCTCTCTCAATCCCAAGATTTTTCCTTGCTCTCTCTCCCTCTCTCGCTTTCTCTCTCCCCTCATTAGCATACATTTGCCCGGTTACACAACAATTTGACGAGGGGTCAGTCATCTCGAGTCACTTCAACGAATAGGCGACAAGTGCGCAACTGTCTGACGCTTTTTGTTTGACAATCAGAGTCGGAGGGCAGCGAGTGGAGAGACAGAGATACCCAGAGAAAGAAGGCAAATCGGCGCGACAGGTAGCACCTGGCCACCCACCCAGACACGCTCATGTCAATTCCCCTTGAGGGGGCGACCAGCTGCGAGTTGGACAATGCCTGCAGGCATTTATGCAAATTTGGCAGATACCGGTCTTAAGAGCAAGGAAAATAAATCAATTCTGACTCGTTTCGAGGGCAGGCTAGCAGAGATACTTGCGGAGAAGCAAATAAAATTCATTTTTATGGCCTACAAACCTCCCTATTTTTCAGTCGAAATCCTCTCCACGTCCGGCGAGAAGAACGAGCTGAAATGGGAGGTGCGCACGTTCTACGACACGGAAACGGTGGGTGTTTTCATCGCGTAATCGATTATTTTCCGCGAAATTGGGCCGAATTTGCATAAAATCCATTTTTATAGCTATTTAAACCCCCAAAAATTTTGATTGTTCGTCATCTCCTTTACCTGTATCGATTCCTCAAAGCTCTCTGCAGGTTTGCCTGGCCAAAATTCAAAGCTTGGCTCCAACAATCCGCGAGATTTTTGAGGGTGATCCCCATAAATCTCGTTCTAATTCTCGAGGAGGTCGACGACCTGTCTGACGATGCTCTCTCTCGCTCTCTCTCTCTCTCTCTCTTTCTCTCTCCCTCTTTCTCTCTTTCTTTCTCTCTCTCTCTCTCTCTCTCTCTCTCCGCATTCGAGATTAGTGCTTTGTTTTCGGCGATCCCCCAGCGGAGATAGGGGCTACGGGTGGCTCCTAAAGACGAGGATCTGGTTAAAGGGATTGGGAACATTCCGCGGCGCTCCACATCCTGACAGCCGCAACATATAGGGGATGAGAGGGTTGCGAAGCGGTGATTAATTGATTACCACTGCGAGATCCGAAGCCCCGAGGGATATATCGGAGCGCGTGCCGATTTATGGGGATAGGCGGGAGATTGAGATTTATTGCCCCGGGAAGCAAAGGGGAGTGCATTATGCGCGAAATTTGGAGGGGTGTATGCTAATTTTCGAGGCGGGCTAGCAGAGATCATTTGGGAATGGAAGGGGCAGGCTAGCAGAGATCATTTGGGAATGGAAGGGGCAGGCTAGCAGAGATCATTTGGGAATGGAAGGGGCAGGCTAGCAGAGATCATTTGGGAATGGAAGGGGCAGGCTAGCAGAGACCATTTGGGAATGGAAGGGGCAGGCTAGCAGAGATCATTTGGGAATGGAAGGGGCAGGCTAGCAGAGATCATTTGGGAATGGAAGGGGCAGGCTAGCAGAGATCATTTGGGAATGGAAGGGGCAGGCTAGCAGAGATCATTTGGGAATGGAAGGGCAGGCTAGCAGAGATCATTTGGGAATGGAAGGGGCAGGCTAGCAGAGATCATTTGGGAATGGAAGGGGCAGGCTAGCAGAGATCATTTGGGAATGGAAGGAGCAGGCTAGCAGAGATCATTTGGGAATGGAAGGGGCAGGCTAGCGGAGATCATTTAGCGTTTTTCGTCGGTTTCCCAACCCCTGTAAAGCCCCCAACTGCATATGCTATAGCATGTCCCGAGGCGTCGCAAATGTTCATCGGGTTGCCGGGTAGCCGAGGGGATTCATATGGGCATTTTGCCCTTTTTTGACAGGGTCTTCTTCTCAGTGGGCCCTTGGGCCCTCTGCGCCTGGGCACCCGGCCACCAATCCCCCTATAAGAGCTGTCGTAAACACATACGATTTCCCGCGTCGATTTTCAAGGGGAATGGGGAAATTGAAATTCCGCGGGGTAGCCGATAAAAATGAACCTCAAAAAATCAGAACTTCCCAGTCCCTTTAAACCCCGATTTCCAACTTTCTCATGCCAATCATCCCAAGGCCAATAATCCTGCCGTTTCGTATGGCGTTTCCGGCGCGGCGCGGCTTCCTTTTTCAAGCCGTTATGATGGCTCGAAAAGAAATGGCAAAGACCTTCCCATGGGGGGATGGGCGATTCGTCTTCATCGGCTCATAAACACACGTTACGCCAGCCACAACCAGAGAAATGTCATGTTAGTGACTAATGCCCCGAGGGCACGTCCCCGCGCCGCCCCCGTTACCTTTAAAGGGGCCGCCCTGGGGCAGGAAAGTGCATGGGAAAATGTCGAAAATTTAATTAAATATGAGAAAATGGCATAAGAATTACTGTGGCAAAAATACAATAATTTTCAAGAAATTTAGTGGTCAAAATCCAAGGTCGTAGATTTTTCTAGACCACGATCCAGGTTTTTCTGTTTTTTTTTAAGGTGTCTAGTGGCAGACCAGAATTTTTTCCGAATCTCTTGTAGTTTTAAACGGACTCGAAAGGAAAATAAAAACTATAGAATTTTTTATAGGAGCCAGTTTCACCTTTTGTAATTTTTAAGGTAATTTTTAGCAACTTACTGTAATTTTTTCTTTTTTTTTGGTATTTTTGAGCTTTTTGGCACAAAAATACCGTCATGAACTTACATTTTTTTTGAAAAGAATCCTAGAATTTTCCTTTTCCTTTAAGGGCCTCGAGAACCCAATTAATCCCCCAAGCGCCTACGTACCACTCCTCAGAACGGCGCCCACAGAACACCAATTTCTCCACCCTTTCGAGCCTTCGGGTGATGACTAATGGCTTTTGGTGGGGGTGTCGTGCGCCAGCCGAAACCCACCCTTATAAATCAACCCAAGAAACGTGAAAAGGAAGCGCTAAAGGGGTCGGCAAGGCAGCGAGATTGATGGGCTATAGATTATGAGGCGCGCGTGGCGGGACCAATTTTGAGGTGTTGGCATGTAAAATGGTGGGGGGAGTACTTTTAAAGGACGAGGGAAGGCTGGAAATATGCTGTTCTTAACCATAAAGGTTCTAAAAGTGGATTTATGCAAATTTAAGACCGAAAAAGTCATGACAACAATTAAACATCGCTTAAAAATACAAACTTTATGTCAAAAAATCGAATCATTTTATACCGGAAAACGAGAGAGAGAGAGAGAGAGAGAGAGAGAGAGAACGAAACAATTATCTAATTTCCTATTTTTCAGTGGAGCGAAGAAACCTACTCCGGCGTCTCCAACTCGAACGAGCGCGCCTACGTCTCCTGCAACCTCGATGAGCAATTTGTCGACAACTGGCTTTTCACGCCGCTGAGAGATTCCGGAAGGGCAAATCGGTAAGAATACGTCCGAAAATCGCTAGATTATTTTCTAGAGTCCACATCTATACCAACTACTCCCTTCGTGATTGCGGGAAGGCCGGAAAATACTGCAAGGAGACGTTTGGGCTCTACTATAAAACCGTTCCGAAAGGAGTCGATGATGTTCTCCAGGGCTTCAACCCCAATCAGAGTGATTGGTGAGTTTTGAAGTCGGCGAGAGAGAGAGCGAGAGAGAGAGAAAGAGAGAGAGAGAGAGAAAGAGAGAGAGAGAGAGAAAGGATATAATATTTGATCGTTAAGGACCCTTCTGAGCCGCCTTACCGGTGGAGAACGAACTCGTGAAAACGGTCTGATGAAAAACGAAGAAGTCCACACCGTGGTCGTCAACGGCTCGAATGTTCGATTCGCTTTTCGCGATACTGGCAGCTGCGTTTCCATCCTGGCCGTGAAGGTTGGTAATTGTCATTTTTTAGATTTTTCCGCTTTTTCGATTTTTTTTTGATGCTTCTCTTTTTTGTTCTCAAACCTCTCTAAAAGCTCTTCCGTTCCCTTTGATATGCAAATTTCCCGACTGACTCGTTAGGCCTAAATTTCATTACTCCCTGAACTCCTTAAGCCACTCCAAAATTCCGGCACCATCCTATCAACACGCGCATTAAATTGGCAGTTCCTGACTCCTCAGGGGCCCCTCTTAACTTATTGACACCCCAGGGAGAGAGAGAGAGAGAGAGAGAGAGAGAGAGAGAGAGAGAGAGAGAGAGAGCGAGAGAGGGAGAGGGAGATACCCTAGAGGGAAGGGTGTTGGCGTGCAAATATTCATTAGTGGCCCTCAACACCAAATACTCTCGGGGCACATCCGATTTCTGGCGAGTATTTGGCCCCTGACCTGCTAAACAGTGCCCTTCACACCATAGTGGCGTGAAAGACAACCTGGCAAACAAATAGGGGCCCATTCGCGTGTGGGTCCGGGGCCCTGGGGCACAACACCTTGAGGGGCAGACCGTGTTGGCGAGGAAGGCGTAAATAGTAGAAAGTTTCGGAATAATTCTGTTTTGATTTTTCACAATTTTGCGGCCTGGGGTGACTTCATGAACTTGAAATACAAAAAATTCCTCGGGGCTGAAAGCTAGGCGGGTTTCGCTATTGTTTAAATTGGGGGTGTAATTACTATTGATGCGCGTTTTAAACCTTTTCTGATGCCAAAAATTTTATCTAAAAATTCGGACGGCAGTCGCACCGCCAGCCTGTGGCGAGCTCTCCCTTCATAACCCTCTCGCAGCGCCTCCGCCCCATGGTCTTGTGGTGTAGTGGTTATCACGTCTGCTTCACACGCAGAAGGTCGCCGGTTCGATCCCGGCCAAGACCTTTGTTTTTGCTTTTTGGAAGGGTAGATCGAAAATGCTGTTTTTCAAGGCTTAGTCTTATCTACAAGTGTAGAAGTGATGTTTTTGCGGGTTTTTAAGCGCTGGAAGCGAGGGCTAGAACCTAGCAAATACCGAGGGCCCGATGTTCACTTACGCGCCTTCTTCGCGCACTAATGACAATTTGCGCGTGGCTTTGAGCGCGTCGGTGTCGGGGTCGGCACGATTCATAAGCCTAATCGAATCGCGGGCCACCGATTCTATGGCCCAGCCATGTTAATCAGGTTATTGGGGGCTAGGCAGATGCTTGGGGGGCCCATTCCCAGCCTCACCCCAGAATACTCGGGATCTGATCGGCTAATAGAGGTTAGTGGGGGAGTGGGAGGGGGATGCTCAGGTGTGCCTAGGAATACCTCGAGGTCAACCCCAATCCATGCCTCATGCTAATCCCATTTTACAGCCAGCCCAGGGCAGCTAGGCGTGCAGATGGATGCGGGGGTTGCCATTGTTTCCGCTCTAGGGAGGGAGGGAGGGAGGAATTCCAGCCATAATACCGACAGGAACATACCGACGGGGAAAAATACCGACAGCGGAAATCCCGACAACCAAAATCGTAAAATGGCAAAATCCTGGCAGGGAAAAAGCCCGACAACCAAGTCCCGAAAACCAAAATCCCGACAGGGAAAAATGTCTTGGCCACAATCCCGACCACAAAAACCGCGAGGCGTCAAAATCCACAACCAAAACCCCGACAGAACAATGTCGACAGATTCTTGGCGCTGATTTGAATAGCATTTTTTGAAACCGCAATTTTACCTGTTGTAGAGAGCGAGAGAGAGAGAATGAGAGAGAGCGAGAGCAAGAGCGAGAGCGAGAGAGAGAAAGCTAGAGCAAAATTTGCATTTTTCACTTGCTAAACCCAGTTTTTTTGACTAGAGAACCCAGAGAAGAAGAGGATCAGAGAAACAAAGAGCACCCCCAGCAAAAAGCCTCCACCACCCTCCCGATTATTCCGTTTACCCGTCGCATTTTGCAGGCGAATTCAGGGCTCCCCTCGCTAGTGTGGGATTAGGCTTCCGCATTGGCGCTAGCGCGCGCGAGCGACCTTCCCCCCTGCGATTTTTTTGGTGCCTTCCGGCCATGATGAGGAGAGAGAGAGAGAGAGAGAGAGAGAGAGAGAGAGCGATAGATAGAGAGAGAACGAGACTTTCTTTGTTGACAGCTAGAATCTCTGAGGGACGACCAGCAATCGCACCCCCTCCGGAGCAAAGTGCCAACCGATTAGGGGAATCGAGGGGGACTGATCGGAAATTGAAGACGGTTTTAAAGAAGTGGTTAAGGCCGGGGTAATGGATTTTGGCGTCCAGCCAAACCGAAAATACTCAAATTATATAAAAATTGGCTGTCTTAGACTACTAAATTCAATTTGGCCGTTTTTCTTGGCATATTTTAGCTGGTTTTTCGATTTTTGCAATTTTAGGCGACTGGTGTATTTTTTGGAAACGTGAAGGGACAGCGAAGGCAGATATTTCCTGACTTTTCGATCCTTGGCATTTTTCGCGCCATTAGTACATTTTAAAGGAACGGGGAAAGCAAAATCCAGCTTATAGAACCATTTTTCTCCACTCGAAAATGATTTTCCCGACTTTTTTCTATTCACCTCGTCTGTTTTAAAGGACTATTGAACGCAAAATCCGAAAGCTATTGATGGATTTTACATCATTAACCCTCCCAACTGCAGATCTACTACGAACTCTGTGCCGAAGAAACCCTCGGCTTCACCACATTCCCGGAGACCTCCACCTCAGCCAAGGTGTTCGACACGGTCGACGTGAAAGGACGGTCAGTGTCGTATCCCCAAATTTAATTTTTTTTTGTTTTCAGATGCGTGGATCACGCCGAACCGGTCCGCGAGGGAGTGCCGCCTATGGGAATGTGCCGAGCTGATGGCCAATGGAAAACTCCGGTCGATGGAGGGTGCCAATGCAAAGCCGGCTACTTTCCAGAGTCCAGGAATCGGTGCCAAGGTTCGTTTTTGGGGTTTAAAGGCAAAAAATCTTTAAATCGACTTTAAAGTTACAGGAAAATCCGGAAAATTAAGATAAATTAATTTTTAACAGAAAAAGACCTAGAAAAATTCTGAAAACCCGGAAAAACTATTTTTTCAAAAATAGCAATTTTCCGACTAAATTTTTCTATCGAAACCTCCTAAGCCCCCTTGTTTTCCTATGTTTGCCGTTGCCCCAGTTGTCTGATGCGTTAACGCTAATTTGGGTGGAAAGGTACGGCCCCGAACTATCCACACTCACTCAGCGAGGGTGGGGAAACATCCATTCAGTAATTAGGCGACGCCGGTGTTCCGTCTGCCAAAATCGGCAAATGGGTTTGACTGTTGGTCTCTCTGTCTCTCTCTCTCTCTTTCTCTTTCTCGCTCTCTGCCTCAAGAAAACTCTTTATTATACCCTCCGGCTGGCCGATCGGTAGGGGTCGGCCGACCTGTAAGTGGTGTCAATTTACCTAGGTCACTGTCGGGGACATACAAATGTGGCTGGAGAGAGAGAGAGAGAGAGAGAGCGAGAGAGAGTTAGTGAGAGGGAGAGAGAGAAGAGAGAGACCGACAGACTTACTTACCATAGTACAAAAAGGAACACCACCCCTGGGGTCAACAGTGCGTCACATTTCCGGGGGGCTCCTCAAGACATTTGAGAGGACATTAGGCGGGCGGTATAAAAACTGTAATTGAAAGGGTTGGGTGAGCTCAGAAAGCGGAAAAGGGGTTGTTTTTGGGACATGTAGGAACTTGCCTAAGTCTAAGCCCAAACGTAAGCCTAAGTCCAAGCCCATCCTAAGCTGTTGACTTCCCAATCCCTTTCAAACGGTGTAATACCGTAACCGGCACACCAGAACTGTCCGTAATTATGTTCCCATCAACTCGCCTATCCGCTACACACGTCAATCCATTAGGCCACCTCACCCGAGGGCATGAAACAAAAACCTAATGTGAGAGAGAGCGAGAAAGAGAGAGCGAGAGAGAGAGAGAGTGAGAGAGAGAGAGCCAGAGAGAGCGACAATGCCTTGAGTGCCGGGGCGAGGCCGCGAAAGCACCCGCGCGGAGATAATCGTAAAATTAGGGCTACGCGCGCGCGCCTGTGTGCGACATGTAGGGGAAACACCCGCTCCCTCTGAATAACAGTACAAGGGGCAGATTTTAGGGATTAGGGGGTTGTTGGGGGAGAATTTGGGAAGGGGACAACGGGATCAGCTGTAGGCAATTGGGGGTTTTGGGAAATTAACGGGATTGGGAAGGGAAAGTCAGGAACCCCGGTTACTGTCCCAAGTCGATTCTTGTCGTTTTAAAGGGAGAAAGTCAAAACGCTGATCTGAGTAGAACATTGTGGTTTTAAAGGAATTATGAAGTTTTTTAAAGGGTTACGTAAATTTAGCGTCCTAATTCACTTAAAAAACCCTGTTTTTTGCCGATTTCAAGGGCTAGTGAAGTCAAAAACTTAGCTAATCAAAACTTTTGATTTAAAGGGACCAAGAAGGTAAACCTTTGGCTCTTTAAACTTACTTGAAATTGGCTTTAGCGTTTTTAACGGGATGTGGAAGTCAAAGATATATTGGCATTTGATTGCCTAGCATTTAAAGGAAGCCGTAAGGCAAAAACGACAGCAAAATGCCCGCCTAAATTTCATCGTGGAGGTTTAGTGTTTTTTTTCGTTTTCTACAGTATCCTCATTACGTTCCGGCGCACCATAACCCCCTATTAGCTGCCAGCCTCTCCCACTGTCCGGGCGGCACATTTTGAATAGGTCAAAGATGCGCCCTTCTAAAAAAAAACAATGCCTGGGGGCATCTTACCCGGGTCACCATCCCTTAAATATAGAGCGCCATCTATCTCTCCCTCTCTCTCTCTCTCTCTCTCTCTCTCTCTCTCTCTTTCTAAGACGCCTCCCGTATTCTCACCCTAATTAGCATACCATACCTTTTTAAGGTACCGCCCCAGGGGTCCCGGGGCGAAAATATGGCCCAGTTACCTCATTATATTGTTGAATCGGTTGAATGAACTCGGGGCGGTGATGCCGGAAGCATTCTTTGATCTCCATCTCTCTCTCTCTCTCTCTCTCTCCCGCTCTCTCACCTAATTTGACCCAATTTCGCCCGGGTGGCCCTCGTAATTTTGAGCATATTTTGGCACCCAGGCCGGCCAGGTGCACTTTATTGCCTGGAGGCCACAAGAGCCATGCCTTTCCGATGTGTGTGGTGTGGGTAATGGGATACCGTAACCTGGGGGCAGGTGTGAGAATTGGGTGATTTTTTGGCGCCTGGGAATTGGGGGACGTTAGAGTGATTGGTTGCAGCTTAATGGGCTTGGGTTGGTGTGGGTTTGTATTGCGGTTTAAAGGGGCTGGAAAGCGTAAAAATCGATTCCTCGAAGGACTAGGTCTAGACAGCCACGTGAAAAAATGAATAACTGGTGACTATAGTAAGGACGAGTATCAACAAATAGATGCCGCTTACGAAAATCTGGAAGAACATTTCAAAACCCAAAAACTAACGTGATTTTTAGACGAAATTCCCAGAAAATAGGCTTTTTAAAGGAACTCTGAAGTCAGATCTATGTGAGACAGGTACCGAAAAAGGAAAAAATTCGGAAAGACACCTGATCGAATAACGTGATTTTAGACGAAATCCACGGAAATTTAACATTTTAAAGGAGTGGTGAAGCCAAACATTTTTACGATATCCCGCTCGGTTTTTGACGGGCTTCTGAAGGCAAATTTTCGATTTCTCATTTTGCATGAACTTTTAGGGCTTTTACAAACTCCACGTCAATTATTAAGATTGGTCAAAACTCAGCAAATCAGGCTAATTTGCATAATTTGGAAGAAAGCAAGATCAACAAAATCCACAAAATTTGCCTGGAACCCTTTCTCGTATTTTTTCATGCCCCTTTGACCTCATCAAAGCCGACCGCCCGTTTTTCCGTTTCACACCTTTTTCGCATCCCACCAAGGCTCACCGCTGCACAAATTCGGGCGCGTTTTTCACGTTTTATTCGTTTCACGCGCCGCCCCGACCTCCCGTTTAGGAGGGTGAGAATGAGTCAATGAGGGAAATGGGGATGGAGCATGAAAGGGACGGGTCTCCCTCACTGTAATCTCGTTTGGGATCAGATCGCGGCCGTCGGCTTTTTGTCTTTACAAACCAATATCTGGGGATCGGATCTATTGGGGGGCATTCCAGTCAGCTAGGGAGGATCTTGCGAAGTCTTCCCTCAAAGCCTTCCACTTTTCAAGGGAACGGCTAGAAAATTAGGGTCTCCGCGATATTTTTAAGGGCTCGGAAAGCTAAAAAATTCGACGCCTCGCATCGACTAGATCTAGACAAATACGCTACCGGCTAAAACAAATATATATTTCGGTTATTTTTGCATAAAAAATTGGATTAGTTATAGCATAAATTGCGCCGAAAATCGACCCCTCACACCGACTAGGTCTAGACAAATACACGACTAGCTAAAATAAATGTTCAGTTTCGTTATCTTGCTAAAAAACCGAGGTATAAACAGCAGAACAAGCGCCGGCAATCGACCCCTGGAAACGGCTAGGTCTAGACAGCTCCGCGAGTGGCCAAAACAGGCAACGTTGAACCCATCGAACCACGCGTCATTTTCAAAAAAAAAGCCGATCAAGCCCTGCTTATGCGAATTTTAGCGTGTCACCTAGTTGTCCAGACCTAGTCGACGACAGGGGTCGATTCCCGCGCTTCGTAGTTTCTTTAAAAGGCAGATTTTTTGTGAATTTTTATCGCACCGATTAAAAAAGTCTTAGCCAATTAATTTTGATGTTTTTTTTTGCTAAGGTCAACCCAAAAAAAGTGAGAGACCCGACTCGAGATCAAATCTCAAACCTTGTTTTCCCTAAAAACCGCCTAACGACCTCGAAAGCTGCCCTCAAAGGCATTCCCGATCGCTTATCGGTGTACTGTATCTTGAGGGAAACGGTTTTTTTGGAAGTAGAGAGAGCGAGAGAGAGAGAAAGAATCAAACTTTTAGGGGTCCATTACCCACTTCCGCTCAATTGATGGTAACCTAAAGTTTCTCTCTCTCTCTCTCTCTGTCTCTCTGTCTCTCTGTCTCGCTCTCTCTCCTCTCTCTCTCTCTCTATCTCCCTCTCTCTCTCTCTTCCCAGCGATGATTTGTATCGCTTGCGCAACGTATCGTCCCTCGTCGTAGCCGTTTTCGGGAGGGGTTAAAGGGGCCATGAATCGTCTCCGCCCCGGGGGGCGATCACCCGTATCACCATCACCACCCAATAGCACGCCCGCGCAATCAACGAGGAGACGGATCAAAGGAGCCGCGTGTAGTCGTCTCTCTCTCTCTCTCTCTCTCCCTCTCTCTCTCTCTCCCTCTCTCTCTCTCCCTCCAAGATCACCGTCGCTTCTTTATGACCCGTTTATCGAGAGCGTTGGGGGTTTCTGGAAAAGTTTCAGAGGAAGGAAAGAATTGCGATTGTGGCGAGCTAGCAGCGATCATTTGGGAATGTAAAGGACAGGCTAGCAGAGATCATTTGGGAATGGAAGGGGCAGGCTAGCCGAGATTCTTGAGGAAACCAGGATGAGCTCTTTCGGCCCGAAAGGAAACGACGAAACGACTCCGACTTTTCACTTCACTGGTCATTTAAAAAGTAATCCAAGCTCGAAATGACACTCAAATGATCTCTGCTAGCCTGCGCCTTCCA